GGTTGCCTCGAGCAGTTAAGTGCAGGATATCGCCAGCTCCCAAGCGGCGAAGCATTGGGTTGATCTAAAAGTTCCTACCAGTAAGGCCTGAAAACCGGTGGTTACTTTTTACCTCATACACCCTCTGTATATAAGCCAGTCACCCAACATGTTGTGCGCACTAATAGATCTACAAGTCCGCCGGTGGACAGTGCCTTGTGCGAGGTCTGTTCAGATTGACGAGCAAAACCTAAAATCAGGGTTTGGCTAACTCCCTGGCTCAAACGCTGGATGTCTACTTTCGTGAAAATGGCCACAACAAGCCACTCAGCAGAATCTCTACAAGAAGAGTGTGGAGAGGCCAGTTTACCCGCAGCAGCCACGATGTAACAGGACACGGAGATGTGAGGCAGGGGTCTCGGTTGCTCTATTCGTCCATTAGACCTTGGTATGTTCAATGGGCACAGAACGATCTTCAATGTTCGCCCACTGAAAACTATTCGGAGCTTGCTTCGTGATTAACAGAGTGCACAAGTTAATCTAGGATTATTTTATCCGTGGTCAGCAGTTAAGCTATACTGCACTTGAGAAAAATGACATACTGATCGACCCAACACCCATAGGCTGTCAAGTTGTCCTGCTGGGGGCTGGTACACGACTTCCAACGAATGCAGGGCATCGGCTCCCAGATGAGTTGTGCAACTGCCGAGGACAGGATAACTTCCTCACTCCAAACTAACATGACTGCCTCAAAAGTTTCGACAAATGGCCGAAAGACTTTGGTAGCGTCCATCCTTGTGTTGCACGCGTATGGCGAAAATCACTACCAAGCGTTTTGGAGTAATTAGACATTGCAATCTTGACTCAGATGTTGTACGCTTGACTCACAGGGCACCGTATCAGATAACGGTACAGATCATGAGGGTAATCACCAGAAAGGAGTTGGGTTGTGTTCGGGACAAAAAAGGGAACACGGCCACCACATTCGACGTGTCTACCCAAATACGGTAATCGTTTTAGCCCCCAAACTAGGGACTGAACGCATCAACTGGGAATGGTCTAATTCCATAGTATTTCATCTTTCTTATCCATGCGATCCGTGACTTTTCTTCTGTTCGTGAGATGTCACCGCAAGATTGACATACGAAATCAAACGGAAAAATTGCTCGAATCACGGCTGGCAACCAATGATTTGCCGGAATTTATAGAACTCGTTTTCCCGTCGAAACCGACGTTGCGGTAAATTTCTGTAGGATTTTGTGTGGGTTAACTTAACTTGGGATAAAATCCACAACCAAAGCACTCACCGCCTGCAGGCTGTTGGGCAGTTTCACCTTACTTCCGTCAGTCTTTGTGGGCGTCATGGAACCTAGCCCCTGTCGAAAGTGAAGTGCTAAAGAACGACCCACTGCTCACAGTTGAGTGATTACAATAGTGAAAAGTGGCTGGCTGTTCAGAAGCTGAGTATAAGCAAGGCGGTACCACAGGATGCCAGCCGTTCAGTTAAACTTCCCATAATCTAGTCAACGACACTGCCAGAACAGACTTGCCAACATGTATGAGATTGACAGCGGAAAATAAAGTGACTAGAACGGGGCACCACCAAATAACAATATCGACGCTAAGGGCGTGGATAATCACTAATGACTTTGTGCGTCTCGATCAAGGAGTAACGTTCACGAATGCTGTTGCTGTGCATACTATAAAGGCAGCACAATGAATTTCGGAATAATCTACTCTACATTAGCCCTTGAAGTCACGAGGTCCATGAATATATCATCGAAAAGGTCGAAACAAGAGTAATCACTGGTCTTTCTGAGCTATGCAAACAACTACGACTTTCGCGATCTCCAGAGAAAAAAGACAGCAGCATGTTATTCAGGCCAAAATACCCTGCTTAGCCGACTAGTGGCTGATAGTGGAAAACCAAGAGATGCACGATCCGGTGCCGTTGGCAAACTTGTTTTAGTTGTTGTGGGTAACTACACTTTATGTTATCCCGACAACCAACTGATGTGCTTGAAAAGGCTGCATTATGGCAGTTTTGGCATAAACCCGAAAGAAACTTAACACGAATAAAAAAATGTACGTTTATCAGCACATTTCGGGTAAACAGAGCTATCTGCGTCCGTCACACACCTGAGTGAAGTATAAAAAAGTGCACGCAAAAAAACACGAACACATATAATAATCAAGCAAACATGCATTCATACGGTTTGACATGTACCAAGAGACAACCAGTCGAGCACTTGGCTGAAAAATCGCAGCCGAACGCGTGAAAGTCGGAGAGAAATTGAGGAAGGTGAAAAAATACCCTGGAACGCGAATACATCTAAGGTTTTATGTAGACAGAAGGGTTGTCAGTTTGACACAACAATGGAGAGTAGCATAGCACGCGAAAATGAAAATATGGAACAAAAAATGTTTCCGAAGTCGCTATGGCATAATCGATATTAGCCTATTATGGCCGACCGTTTTGAAGACTATGGATATCAGCTCACTGGTTCAAAGATTCAGCGGATAATTGATTCAATCAATCAGCTATAAACCGTGTACATAGCTGTTACAGTTTCTATCAACGGGAAGTGAGACATACAGCCATATGGAGGCGATGGCAAGTTTATTTAGTTGGGAAACGGGCGGCTACGCATTGAAAGTGATAGCTTTCGTGCATGAGCACCACTGGCTGCACGATTGATCCATTTCCCTCAGTGCCATTGAGTATTGGTGAGTTGAGTCCCGGGGTCCCCATCCAGGGAGGCAGCAGCTGTCAACCAGACTTGCATTGTTGGTTAGTGTCTCCATACTTCGTTGCCAGGTGATACACTGTCTACCTCTAGGTCGCTTCCACTTAGCACAGGGCAGGGCGAAAAGAGCTGTGCGAGACAGGCGGTCTTCTGGCCTATGAAGAGTCGATAATTAATTTACTGTGGAAGAGTTCCTCCTTCCTGGGACCACCTGGAGTACCTCAGCAATACTGATCTGATGTTCCCACTAGACCCGACCAACGCTTCGGATACACCGATTGTCAAACACTGATATCTTTCATATGTCCTCTACGTGAAGAGACCACGTCTCGGATCCACAAAGCAGTACGGATCGCACTTCCACAGCGCAAGCTCTGCCTTTGACAGACACTGACGTCACGTCGGCGCCATAGACGTCGGAGGTTGGTGGTTCACAGAAACTCAAGCACTTGCTCGGATAAAGGAGTTAATTTGCCCCGTCGATTGACTCATCTGTATGCGAGGTTTGGGTTTGATCCCACTCAGTCTTATAGCAGCGCTTTATACTTTGCAGGTGTGAAGCGTATACCAAAACATTCGACAGAGTTATTTAGGTTATTGAAAATCTGAACCAAGGAGAGCAATATTTTCCGCATACTCAATATCATTGAGGAAACGTCCTGGGAGCATTTCTTTTGGGATCTCTGAATTAAGATCATGTGTAATGAAACAGACTACGCACCAATAAGTTTCCATACGTGTTTCACAGTTGTGAGCCGTATAGTGTGGCTGGACGAAAAGATATATTCTACAATCCGCGGATGGGAGTTGAACATCCACGACAGTATAGAGTGATGACAACGGGCAACATCATGAACCACCATCGTAGGCGCAATTGTGGTGCCCTTTCAGTCCGTTGGTACTATACAGCCCGAAAGAAACACGATGGCTTCGGAAAGCACACTAGGAGCCCCAGAGAAAATTGAAAGGCAGCAGCCCAGGGGTTAAAGGCCGACAAAATACGATTCTGATGAAGACGACCCATAAATTATGTAAAGATTAAACAGTTCAAATATGCTTGCCAACAGTAGACTTTTAGTGGACTGCGATATTTGGTCAAACGATCGGAGATGCCTTTCATTTGGAAAAACTAAAACTTTCCTCATTTGACCGAAAAGAATAAGGTGAGATCAATCGGTAACTTACTCTTTACAGCAAAACTAGCTCACAAACTGCCTTACAGCAGTTGACTTCTGAGCGCAACGAAGCGTCCAGGAACACCATACTCTGGCCGTCAAAATAAAACCTTGGAAGCCAGTGATGTGAGACTAAGGTGAGAAGTCCAACAACAACCCAGTTGTTACCTTTTAGGCCTGAGCGACCCAACAAAATCGAGGAAATACTACAGTTGAATTCTTTCGTCAATTTCTTACTGACAGAGCTGACCACTGTAACATTCACTGAGACTTCTTGCACAGAAGCCATTGAAGCTTTAATGTGTTCTCTGGCCTCGCACTGCGCGAACTGACTTAACACTAAGAGAAACTAATCCGGAGAAAGACTTTGCTCAAGACAAATCCTGCAACCATACCACCGCCTTCAACAGTCAGTTGATACTTTGTCAGCTGAGCTTGGCCACCGACTTGCACAGGTCTTGTCATCTTTTGAGAAGACAATGGCAGCGCACTGTCGAGTGTATTCAAAGTCCTACCGTGAAGAGAAGAAAAGTGGGTGAGGGAGGGGACCTAGTGCTGGCCTATGTCAAGCATACTGAGGTGCCTACGCCTCCAACCGCTCAATCAGACAATCCGGAAAGAAACTGACAGCAAGAACGCCACTGACATTGATTAGCCGCCATTTCTTGCAACGTCTCCAGCCAAGCACAGACGGGGTCACAGGGACCCCATCCTGGAAGTCGCACAACACCAACAACACCCAAATTCTTCGTGGTCTCTTTGACGCCTTTCCGCCAAGTCATGTGCTGTCCAACTCGCGGTTTGCGCCATCCTGAAGGAGGCACGGAGATGGTAGACTATTTGTGGTCCACATTGTTCACAACGAAGTGGTTAAAACGTGCACCAAGGGTGCACCATCTGCGCACATGCATACAAGATGCGAAACCACTCTGTTCTGGTGGCTCAATAGATTTTGGAAACGGGATTCAGGTATTTCTAGTTTCGAGGGTAACCCGGACGTCGCTTCCGGTTGACTCAATATATGCATCCAAAGACGGGCAAGGTTGGTAACACAGAAATTCGTGGGAAAGTTGCAAACACAATCATCCGCATAACTTACTCGTCTGTTGTGCTCCAGCACTGCGTCGGCTGGAGAGGGATTTATCCTGAAAGTTGAAAGAACGAAATTGATGAAGACGTGATGGTAGGTACTAAAAAGTATGTTTCAATACTCTTAGACCAGTCGAAGCAATTATACTGATAGGCCACCTTTCTACGCCGAACTGGCGGATCAAACAAGGGGCAGTTGCTAGGGCAACATGGAAGCCAGTAACATCAATATAAAATAATTCATGAGTAGTCCATAACCGGCAGAATTTCAAGCCTGGTCAAGGTTCACGTGATCAGAGAGACGACAGGCAAGGACCTGGCAGGCCAGCGAGCTAAAAACTTATAGCAAACCTGTCATGAGCAAGAAGCAGTGTTAAAAATGCTCAAGAATGTACGGATAAAGCGCAAACAAACGGGTTTTACAAATTTGTGGCAGGGGAACAAGCTGCAGGTGAATGATTGAAAATACGTGGGAAGGAGGAACTATTCGAACCTACTATTCAGCTAACAAATTCTGCGAGTAACTTGGACCCATAGACAGGACGCCCCTGGTCATCAAAGACACTGATTTATACCGTTACCATACAACCGACATACGGATCACAAGTGGTCGCACATGGTTAACTGGGGGGAGGGGCGAGTTCACGTGCGGAGTACTTGTTGATTGATGCAGGTAGAATATTGTTGCATCATATCGAGAATATATGCTCTGGGGCACAAATCAACTAAACCTATCACCAATGGCTGGATACACACTACCAGGAACTTGTAAGTAGCTCAGAAGGTAGAACACTTCACACGACGGGTGAACTTTCCAAATGAGGTATCACTCAAGGAGCCAGTCGACATGTGGCTGTGTGACGTGGGCTCCGTAACTGAAGGATGAGTGAAGCTATTTCCTGTCTGAGTTCGAGATTATCAGCAACTACAACTCAGCCGCCCGTGGTTGAACGGTTTAGTTTCCAGCTACAAACCGGGAAGTCGCGAGTTCGGGTCTCTGCAAATACGCAAGGTGTGTACTACTGATGATTTCTAATAAGGATAAAACCGCTGAATAGCTCTTCTGAGCCTCTTAGCAGGCCTATGTCTAGATAAAAAACAATCCAGTGGAGTAAACCTCCAAGATGCATCCGACAACGGTCGTCGGAAGCAGATCAACCAAATTCATGATTTAACCCCAAACTCGTCAAGAAACGTGCGTCGCCTTAGACGATTGCAATACACCGGAATTGAATATTGGTGCTTAATTACTACACACAAAAGGAAAAATGTCACAGTAGAGGGTGGACAGAAATAGAAAGGGTATGGAATTGATATAAGAAGTCGTATGTCCCCATAGAAAATTAAAAAACAAGGTGCCACTACGCAGGTGACGATACGAAGGCACCCGAGTATCATTGTGCAGTGAGACATCGTCAGTATTGAAGCAAAGTCACCCAACACGATCCCAGTATGCAATGATGAACAAACCAATGCTGGACAGTCCAATTAGGAAACAACAGTTTGCACGCCATACCAGCCGGTTTCGTATGTATGTCCTACAGGGGAAATAACCACGTGCAAGGAGAACCGCATTAACCCAGATCGGCAAGTTGTGAAGATCCCGCAACACTCAGTTTACCTGTAGTTGCCCTGTACACAAGACCTTTTGGCTACAGAGAAAATATCTTCCGATGCGAGTTGGCGGATTTCAGTTGCACCTTGATGCGGTGTGAACTGATTTCTGTCACAGTATGGTCAACTCTATGGAGCTGTCCGACACAAACCCAAGTGCCCTTTCGGAGGTTACAGTGGAATTGACAGGGGATTGACAATCTAGAAGCAGCATATTCCATTTTAAAGGTGAATCATTTCCGAAATCCTACTTACAGCACACTACGAAGCGATAACAACAAGCGAACATCGTCCGCATAGTCTGTATTGGTTTTTGTTTGCATGTGAATTCGGAAACAATGATTCCAGGGCCCCAGAAATGGCTATATCAATGGCAACAAGGAACAAAAAACGAGGACAGTCTTGAAGAACATTAGTTTCAGGATAACTTTCGCGCCGTTCGTTGCAATCTCTAATGATATCCGAAGCTTAAGCACAGAGATCAAGCAGTACACTGCGGCATTTTTGTTTGGCCAACTACAGATGGATGAAATGAATTATCTACAGAGCAAAAGGCACGAACAAAGTCGGGGATAACCTCAATTGCTGACTGAAGGTATCTATCGCACTGGTCAATCACTTCTTCAACGGTGATGTGCTCACCCCACACGTAATCCCGAGACCCTCTCGTGTAGGCGTCGCAGTAACAGCGTTGTAGCAAGGTGAGGCTTACAGTCTATCTGTGTACCGTTTTTGAACAGACGTACAGCGGGTAAGTGATTCCAAGCTTTTAGAACTCACTCCTGTTCCAAACCTAGACGAAGTAATCTAATCGGAAACCAACAAGAGTAACCTGCACATTCGGTGAATATTGATGGTGAAAGCACAGCTGGTAACGCGGCACCTGGGAAGTCTAGGAAGTTGCTTCATCTCATACACAGAAACAAACGCAAGAAATCGGTTGTCAGTGAGGTCATCAAAAACAACACTACAAATTTAACGTGCTGCTGGACAGAATACTTCCAAAAGCGGTTTGGTTTGGCTTGTACCTGTTAGCTAGGTCGCTATGATTCGAGCTCAGATGAAAACCGAACGGCACGACGGTCACCACGCTCCCTAATGCTTGGTTTTTTAAAGGCTAGATGCCTAGGAGTAATTCACATACAAATGCGAGCAATCAAGTGAACAGTACAAACTTACTGCATTGGAGCGGAACTCATCATTGCCGAACCAGTTTCCATTCTCCTGTTGGATGTGAAGGAAAAAGTGAAAGAAGATGAACAACAAATGGAGGGGTCTAGCTTATGACTTCCACAGAAATACGGAAATTTACAGCAGGCGGACTTACCAAGCTTTCATGTCTTGATGCTGCATGAATAGTAACTACTTACGTAACAGCTGACGAACGCTAGAAGTTATGTGGCTCAGAGGTCTAAGGAACTGAACCTAAAAGATGACCAGCTTATGCGTAAGTACAAAGAAAATCCTAACCTGGGTGAGCTAGTGATAGGTCTATCGTATCCGGGATCTAGCAAGCCAACGCCGATTCCCATGTTTGACCAAAAAAACTGGTATCCATGTAACCAGTGGATGAATGCCGTAGTTTCTGTTACCATAAACAACATAAGTACCAAGAGAGTAGAGATGAACAGTGAGGTGTTGCAAGTCCCCAAATGTTTGCCCGAAAATATTCAGTACAGGAATCCCTGGTGTATTAAAATCCTTCCGCCGAGAAGTTGCTGGTCCTGGTCAATTCGCATCGTGTGCGCAAATCATTAGGAGAATTTCATAACTAGCAGTGCATATTACGGCCTCGCAGACCATGAGACTGTGGTTGGACTAGTACAGCTTGAGGGACAACAGATTTTTTTTCTACTGTTTGTTCTAATTACACATTGATCACAACAGAACAGATTTTTTTTCTACTGTTTGTTCTAATTACACATTGATCATTAGCATTACGAATCCATGGATAAGCGTATAATTAAGCTACAAAATCCATATCCTATTAATCTTTCGCCAGTCACAAAAACGAGAAACTCGTAAGAGTGTTGTAGCAAGTGGTGATAGCATTTGCGTCAAGTGTCCTAATAACCAATAAACATACACACTAACTATGCTAAACAATAAACTGGCGATTTAAAACAACCATGTCGAAATATATGTTGCTAAGTAATAAAACTGTGCACGATTGTCATTCTGTCTCTATGACTTAGAACAAAACCGGAAAAAAAAACGTGGGTTTTAATAGACCTTTATTATGACGAACCGGTCGGTTGCTACCAACCACCCCCTATGAGCAATCTCTTAGTATCTTTCCGGAGACGTAATTTCACTGTGCAGGCACAAGTCCGCCTTCCCCATGCCACCACAATGATCATTATCAGCCGTAAGAACCACGTATTTGTCTTACAGAGGTTGTAGCTGCCACAAGTTCGTCCATCGATGATTTGGGGAGGTAGGGTAGGAAGCTGTGCATTGGAAGCGGGAGTCGATAAATTGACGTATAAATACAGGTCTGTCAGTGGACTTTCAAGTGGGGGGGTTAGGAAGGGAGCTATGCATTGGAGGCAATAGCTTAGACGCACAAGCACCAAGGCTCATGACCACTCGCCTCTTCACTTTAGACAGTAATTTCAGTGATCGTAATATCCTGCACTCTTCCACTCACGAAACATGCACGTAACACCACTCTTTGAACCAGAAGACTGAAATCCACTGAATCTACGGGTGGATAAAGACACTCAACGAGCGAAGTCCTACAGGGAGAAATATTATTAGTCTTAGTGGAAAAAACTCAGAAATACAACTCGAAGTAGGCCATCAAGGGTTCCACCTCTATATAGGCTAATTCGTTGGATATGAATCACGGTCATTTGACTGAAACTTCGTTAAGGAATTGATCGACAGTCGCAATATTTAGTCTGCACAAAGGAGGCTCATAGACAGAATCAACACCAGTTTCGTCACCTACCAAAAGATAAAGACCCAAGTGGATACTTTTGGCTGATCATTGCGCTCCTAAATCCCTCCCCACAGACTGTCAAAGCTCGTAACCCTTTCAAACTGTTTGTGCTTCTGTTCTTAAATTTTCCACATTTTGAAATTCGGGTAAACGGGCTGCGTGGCAAACAACAGTGGAAGAGTATGTATTCCAACAAGCACGTATCTTTTGTTAATGTTTCAAAAAACTCCCAAAGATGCCTTCATTGCATCGCGCGGAATATAGTGACTACTGCTCAGGAGGGTTGCTCCAGATATGTCTGTTCATGCAGGCTGAAAAGTACAATGTGCATGTGATTATGGTAGACAAACTATCAGCCTCTAATGCCAGTGGGGTCGAAGTGCTCCCGGGGTGTTCGCTCATATATCGAGTATGCAGATGACATACCACTTCTTGGATTCGATGCCGTCGTAAAGCAAGCAACATTAAGTAATCTAACTAATTCTGCAAGGTTTGGCATGCGCCTCACACCTCATGGAGAGGTCTACCTGAGTAGGTGTATTAGTCCCGGTGGTCTCGCGAAGGATATTTCCATCCGGATTAGAAGGGCTAAAAAAGCTCTCACCTATGGCGAGATGGCTCACTAGTTAGAGCGTGAATTTACTGGCCGGAAGGTTCAAGGTATGAACCCGACCTCTGCCTCTCGGCTTCCCCTGTCTAGGCTTGGGCAACCTGGACCTGGTAGTATCCCAGCCCTCGTGCTTCCTTCGGGTTGCATGGCGTGACTTCAGTTTATCTGTCAAGGGTCAAGGGTACATTGCTGGGCTGCGCACCATATTATCATACGGGTCAGAAACCTGGCCGCCGTGCACCGAGGATGTCAGAAGACTTTCAGTATTTGACCACTGATGTCTTCGGTGGGAACACCGAATCAGTAATGCTGAAGTACGTCGAAAGATTTTCGGAAGAAATAACTCACCCAAGATAGATGAGCTGATCAAACTCCACAGGTCGAGCTGGCTTGGTCACGTGCTCCGTTCGACAGTCGACCGACTTCGTCGAAGGGCGCTTTTCGCGCAGAAACGCAAAAGGTAGAAACAAGCCAGGGGAGACCAAACAATCAATCGGGAACGAAATATGGAAGCCATTACCAACAAACTCAGCTGAGCTGGTCATTGCCGTCGCCTTGGATGTGGACCCCGAGACAGGAGACATCACCTGCTACAGACATTGTCAGACATGGCCCAGTCGCACCCTCAACGGCACTAATCCATCCAAGCTATTGCCTTAAATGCATAGCTCTCCAAAAGCCCGCAGCCGACCATGTTCTTAAGCACCAACTATATCAGTTACCGCCTCCAATGGGCAGCTGTCTGTCCCACTTCCCAAATCATCGGTGAACGAAACTGTGGCAGGTATAACCACTGTACAAGTACAGCTGATGATGATGATCTGTCATATCATGACGAAATCCATGGTTCTGATTGCCCATGTAAGAGCAAACTGGACACGGGAAGTCATAGCGCTCGGTTGGTTTATTGCTGTAAATTCCAAGGTTTCAGCCATTAAGTGTTGTCTTCTTAAGGGATGAAATAAACAAGCTCCCAAACTGGTGGTTCGATTGCCAATTAATGCCAATGAACTTATGCAGGGGTACACTCTGGAGTTCAACTACGAGGGCTAAGTATTTAGCCCTTTAAACTGCCTGATAAAGGGCGCTATGAGACGTTTCGGCATACTCGAAAGTTTACTCGTACTCATCATGTTTAGTGGATAACTCCATTCACGGAAACCTCGATCCAGTTGAACCGATATGTATTTTGGTTGAAACAACCTATTAACGCTTTGCATGAAGGTTGTTAATTTCCTCAACACCACAGTGCGACTTTGGAGATTTTCATGATAGACTGATACGTCTACTTACCTAGAACATGAACTTCGCAATATACACATATTTTGGTAAGTTTCAAGATACTTGGTAAATGGCGAATCAGGAGAGCTGAGTTGCGCAGTAAGCATGTAAGAAACCGGAACATTCTGCGAGGCGGCAGCGGCCCGATCATGTAATCCTCCTGAACGACAGTCATATGGAGCTGCTTTCCAACTAACGCAACTGAACAACTGGATGCATATCCGCCATACAAGCTGATAGTAAAGTAATGTAACTCCTAAATGCCTCATCCGCACGTAGGCTGAAAGAACTTTTACAAATGTTTAGCCAAGAACCTGCGTTTCCAAGAAAACGCTACAAAGGAGAGCGCAAGTTCGATCGGTTCAGAGAATGTGGTGCAACCCACAAGAACGCTGTGTTTCACGACGATGAAAACTAAAGCACGGTCCAAAGAAACTATGCCGTGGAGATCAAATCCCTTTTCAAGGAATTGACTCGCCAAAAGGAAACGCCTCTATCTAGGAGATGATTTCGAAGACATGGCATTCTTCTTATTACGATCCTTCCCCGAGAAACTTTCGGACCTCAGAAGGATAGCTTACTCCACAAGAAGACAAAACAATACGAATGCCCTATGCCATCGGTTCAGATTCTTAAGTGGACTATCATCTCAAAGCACAGCTGATATACCGACCCGCCACATTAGCGAACTCCTCTTGGTTTGATTTAGTCAATAATTCGGATGTATATACGCACGTAGCTGAAAAACCGGCTGACTGAGCTGAGATATATGGTGAAGCAACGTGTGATAAACTACTTCTCGAGCAGAAAATAATCATTATTGTTCTCATTGTTACATGAGGGCACATACACGTGACAGCTTGTCGTATTTAATTTTTTATTCAAGCTTAGCTGCATGAGAGCCCTATCAGTTCCTGATGACAGATAACGGGGACCGACGACCAACACACAGACCAAGCATGTGTGAATAGCAGATATACACGAACAGTGTGACCACCTAGAGCGTTCAAAGCAGATGGAACGGAGGATCCTATCCCACTCTCGCGAAATCTGGTAAAAAAGACCCGAGTACAAATGAAATTTTACTGCCCTCACCGCCTCTCCCAAAGGAGTTCCTTCAAGGGTTAATACTGCATCAGAGCAAGGACTTCCACATGATCGTCCTAGCTGCATAAGCTTGGGTGCAAGAACTCACCCTCGAGTCATCCGATTTACGCCGCTTCTCTTCAGGTGCAAGATTACAGGTGGAGCTGACCGAAGAAGTAAACGTGCTGGAATGCAACGCGCCCAGTACGTTCTGAGCTGCCGTGTGAAGGCTACCGGTACCACTGCTCTGACGCCCACCCGATCCAGCACCACCGCTACCTGTAGACGCACTACGGCTTGGTTGTTGGAATGCGTTGGACGAAGCACTGTGACCCATATTCAGACCGACATCTCCCGCGTCGGCCGAACCAGGCACGAGGGGAAGAGAACCTGGAAATCCTGGAAAGTCAGAGAGGTTCCCTCCGAGGATTCCACTCAGTGGATTTGAAGGCGGAAGTATCGATGAGCCCAGTCCCGATGGACGGGCCCCCAGTAAGAGGGAATTAGCGGCAGCAACGGCAGCAGCGCGCTAAAACGTAACAGTAGCAAGAAAGATGTGGTAGTTAAGTCAGCAATAACAACCCACGCATCCAAAAATCACACCGCCCTCATGTGAAGCCCTCACGGCGCGTGAATATTATCCGGTCTTGTCCTGTCAGGAGGCCATCAAGAAGGCAGTCCCAGAATGTTTACCACCTAGCCACCTTAATCGAAAACAAAAATGTGAACATGCGGAAATTGTGTAACTACGTTCATTGAGTGCGAGACCGAGCTGGGAGTGAAACAGGGTTCTGTGTTTGCTCGAGCACAGCTCAGCCTGTATCTAACGGCCATTTGTGCTGAGGTGTTTCGCAAGTTTGAGGGTGGTAAACAATTCACATACCTGCTGGAAAGCTATTCATCCTACTCGAAGCAGCTCCCGGCTGTGTGAAGCCACCAACGCACAATAACGTCGACAGACCATGGGGGAATACTTTCGGATTATGGAGCGGAACTGAAGCAGCTTATTGGCCTTATTTTCAGAGGCATCCCACTTTGGGTTACATGTTACTGATTTTAGAACGGCTGACTTTTACCAGCTTCCGCCTGACGGTGAAACAATGAACCACAAGGCATTCGGAAAACTTGTTGTGAGATAGTGTGTTGTACGGATATCCACTACCTGGACAGCAGACTGTCCACAAATCAAACACCTGATGACGTATTGAGTGTACGAAGCTGGTAGATCAATAAAGCGCATATGAACCCTAGAGGACGCGCTTAGAGAAACCTACTTATAGTTTTATTACTATGTGGCAGCTAAATATGGGCCACTTACATATGTTCCAGTTCTCTACCGGTCTCATTTGCAAAACTTTCGATCGTACGGATAGATCGAATCACGATCATCAAAGCGATTCAAGGAATAAACGCTTACGGGATTGAAAGCAACCTCAACTGGTTACATCAATGAACAGCTCAACTTCGAGTCCGAGACAAGTTGCTTACGATCATTCAAAAAATGAAGTTATAGAGTGAGTCATCTGAAATCCGGATACTGCGCTAACCTTCAATGAAGTCCCACACAGCTTTGACTCCAAATCTTTATCACGGAAGGGCCTACCACTCGGGAGAGACCCGTTTTCAGTGGGCGACAGCTCGGAGCGCGTAGCACACGACCGACCACAGTAGACTGTGGTGCTGGACGCAATTTACATATGAACTATCTACTGCCTCCTCAACCACTTGCCATATAATCAATTCATTTTGAGTTCGTTGGTACCAGCTCGTTCCAGGTAACGTAGTGAACCGCTGACCCTCAAATACCTGGACGCCTCTGATCCTCAGCGGCCACACAGTTTGCTTGTAGACCAACAGCTACTAGCTAAAGACCGTTTATGGATGATTTCTTAGCTCCCCACATGGTATTTGACTAAGAAACTTTCAATAGGTGATCCATGACTTCGCAAGCACTTTGCACTAGCCTAGGTCCTATGCAGACCCGCCGTCTCTCCGAAACTCCCCTCCAAAACCCGAATGTCTACGTCATCCTAATGCTGATAACAATAGAATGGACAAATTATGCCTATTTGGAAATCACCACTTTGCGGCAACCGAACAGGGGTGTAAAAATAACGCTGAGTAAGATCCGCTTGTCCAGTGAAAAACTAGGTTCTTGAAAGTTAGTTTCAAACTTTGACCACATGAAAAAAGAAATCCTCCGTTTCGCAGCGGTGGATGTGACTATTGTAGCCTTGGCTAGGATAAAAATGGAGTTTTCTGACAACTACAGGGACTTCTGATGAAAGCGTTCAGGACAAACATGAATACCCAGGTTCGGATCGATAAAAGTAACATAGGTGGTCGATATTTTAGAGGTTTGCAGTAAGACGTCAGACAGACGACCGTTTAGGCTTGGTGTGGATGGCCGTTTGTTCTTTTTTCCATTAACATCCAACGGCATCCACCAATTCAAAACCATTCACAGAGACAAAGAACATCACGATCAATCAAGGTTGGCGAAACTGTATTCAAGAATGTCGACCTTACTATCTATCACCTGCGTATCATCGGACAGTGAAAATACCACATCGGAAAAGCTAAAAGACTATCTGTCCACCCAAAAAATTCTCTGAGCGAATCTCGCGCTTAATAGCTTCCAAAAACATTCCATACTAATGGGTATACAGTTACGCCGTAGTGAACTAATCTACTACCAGCTAATGGGTAAAAGTGGGCATCATCATCATCATCGACAGCATGACATCAGTGTTCAACACCAATGATTCACTGCCGTGCAACCATGACTTATTTGAAAGCCTTATTGTAAAGAAAAGAATAAAGGTGGACGGGGGAGGGACTTAGCGCTAGCTTAACACAATAATTCCGAGATGCCTACACCTCCAGACATTCACTCAGGCAATCTGGATAGAAACTGACAACAAGGACGCCACTGACATCGGTTGGCAGCCATATCTCGTAGTGTCTCCCACCAGGCACAGTGAGGATCACGCGGTCCCCATCCTAGAAGGCGAGTAGCACCGACAGCACCCAAGCGTTTCGTGATCTCCTTCATACTCCTCTACCAAGTCAAGGGTTGGCCACCTCTCTGTTTACGCCACTCTGAATTGGGCGTGGAAAACAGCACTCTCTTCGGCAAACGATGGTTCGGCATACGTAACACATGTCCCAACCAACGCAGCTTCTGGTGCTGGACAGATTCTTCAATGAAAGTACCCGTTACAGAACCGAAAACGCGCTTTCTAACTGCCTCATTACGGATTCGCCGACACCAACCCACACGAGCTATGGTTCTGAGACAACGATTGTCAAACACCTGAAGTGGGCAATGGATATAGATCCAATTCTTCCAAACACACTCGAGTTGGTTGTAAGTGAAAACACGTCTATCAGGCGCTCAGAAAGTAAGAAATTTCAAAAAAACTTGGGACACTCAAACAGCCTACACGTGCGCTTGTTCAGCCTAGATAGTGGGAGGAAACCTTGAGTTGGACACTTCGATCAGCAACTTAATAAGCCTGTTCTTCCAACAAATCCCACATAGACACTCGTAGGTATGGACCTATTCCCCTTGACTGCCCTTAGAGGAATCCAACAATGCCAGTGTAAAAGGTCCACGGTTCACGGCATACACTCGGCTTTGTTTGCAGGAAGGAACATTCTTTTCGACCAACATCATTGCCTTGGAAGGTTTTGGACGAGTAACCAACCGCAGCTGGAGTTCTGCTACCAGCACCCATCCACAGAGATCAGAGAAGCCATTTCAGCAGACTGTGTTGTCAAGGCAGGGATAAAAAGAATACCTAGGGCCGCAGAATGTCTGCAAACCTCCGCAACTGTGACACCCATTACCGATGAGTAAGACTTTTAAATACCTTTCTACGATCTGTACCTGTTGGAGGTATCAATATTCCCGAAAAGTCCCTTTGTGCTAAAGAACTTCTGGCATATTTTCAAGGTCAAACTAAGGATATATATGTTCACTTTTCCGTAAATCGCCCTTTGTTCGGAGCATTACAGTTGTGTCCAAAGTTTCACCTTATTACTAGGAGTCGGAATCAGGCAACATAGCTGAGGATGGAATATCGTCACAGTCCGCTCATTTTATCGTTTGCTCACTGTGTGATCGAAACATAATAGCACTACAACACACTCACGAAAAGGGGCCGTTGTGTGCCCTTTATCGGTCGTCGGTGCGTTTTACATATTGCCTGTGTTTGGCGGGAAGATAAATCATTAATCAGGGATTTCGATGCGCGTTCGGTTCAGTATGACCTAGCAGACCCAAAAAATACCATCATTTCCCAACATAAGATCAGAAATTTTAAACACAATTCCTGAGTGCCCGTCCATTGCACATCTCGATTGGTGCATTTCTCAAGCACAGAACTTGAAGCTCCGCTACCCTGAAATCGTGTTTACGACTTGCGTACGCACACGTGACACAGCTGAAGGTGAGATACCACACAAAACTTCCTCGGTATGAGTAACCCGGTAGTACTGCCGATGCTCACAGCTCTGCACCCTCCGTCTCTAGACTTCCTATACACTCTTCAGTTGGTTAACTGTGATCGACCGTCCGTCGATTTCCCAAACATTCCTGTGTTCAAGCTGAGGATAAATAACATAAACCATCAAAATCTCTTCCCAAACTCAAATACTCTGTCCGTGATATAGCTACAATGACCGGGCTCTGGAGAATTGCGCAGTAGAACAGTTAGGAGGCCCAAGTCCACATAGCTTAAATGCAAGCCTAAAAAACAAGTTCTAAAAACACCTTTAAAATTTGGTTACCCGGTATTGCGCCGTAGCACTTGAATAGGAAATGCCAAAAATGGTGAACAACCGTGATGTTTCGCGGTAACGCTGGTCTGTTCATCACGGGGCCTCACAGCCAGAAAATATACATATGTCGAATTTGGTAGCAACGCCAAACACATGTAGGTTTTGGACGTTTATTGCCACAGTGGAATGATAGTGAACAGAAAAGCTGGGTCAGAAACAATGGGGCTTGTGATATCTTGGACCCAAGACGGGTGTTCAGAACTCCAAGGAGGATGAGGCAGAAGACGGGCCTCATGACAAGTTGTTTTTCCGAGTGTTCGTTAAAAGGCAGATGGGATCATGGTTAAAGAAATTTTGAGGACCAGGACATTGGATCAAAGACTTAGCTCGGTTTGATCTCGAAGCGGTACACTGACTTCGAGCCATGTGCTTTACTGCTATTCAGGCAACAGAAAAATGTTGGAGAGTCAGGAAATTATTCTCTAGGAACTCTTCACACCCTCAGAAAACGGCGCTCATTGGGGTGGGTTTCATGGGATCCGGAAACGCGCTAACAGCGTCAAGACGAAACTGGACCTTAACGCGGTGTGACGGTTTGCACACCTCCATAACCTACTGGGAAGTGTGCGTGTGAAACAAACAGGGCCTCTCACACTAGATTGTTCAATGGATGGAGGTCAAACTAAGTCTCCTGGTTCTCCAGGTTGAGAACTGAAATGTGTGGCGACTTGCTGCCTGAAAATGTGGGCTGATCTGACGGTCTTACGCCAGCCACCGATAAATTGAGGCTAGTCCTTTGAGTCAAATGTTTTGGCAGATAACCCCTATCGTTTCCCTACCAAGGCACCCTCTTTATATCTCATCCGACGTACGACCAACTGTAAATTTGCAAATAATCTTATGCTACATCGGCCGTCACATGTGTCGCCTTAGTTGTTGCATACAGCAAGGCAGGTAAACGAAAACAGATTACTGCTGATGTTCTCCTTCATTGTTTTACATACTTTATCATCCACTTCTCCCCACCCTATAAATAACCTCCCTTGTAGGCCCGCCAGTTAGGACTGATGCCCTTTTTCGCCTGCATGGGTTTTGCAAGCAACATCTGCGCGTTATCCGGCGCTGACATCCACAGACATCTCAAAATCAATCTCTAAGCATCGACATACAATCTATTTGGCTGCTTTCAATTTTCACACTCTGAAGCAAGCAGAACAACGAACTGTTGTTGCTCTCACACTGGACTCGCTTGATATTGACGTGTGCTGTGTATGGGAAACAAGAACTCAAAAACAAGCACAGTGATTGAACAGCCTCGTTAGTCCCACTGGCTCCCCACTGCACAGTTCTGGTGATTTAGAGACGGTTGAGGCAGGATGTGCAGGAGTTGGTATCGTCCCAAGTCACCAGGAGCAAGGATTCTTGCTTGACTGGATACCCGTTGAGTCTATTTGTGTAGTTCGTCTGCCAACGACCGCGAAGAAGTCATACAAGCGGGAAGTCTATCGATGTCTGTATGTAGTGTCCTCTTACGCCCTAACTGGCCATAGCTCTGACGCCTTGAATACCCTACTGCAACGAGCAAGAAGCTCAGATATCGTTCTGGCTGCCGGCGATCTGAATGTAAAAGTGGGTAAGTTCAGCGGGTGCGAGAAACAATTAGATGATAGAGACGGATCGGTCTCGGTGCAACGAAAACTTCCGCCGAGCAACGTGCCCAGTAACACAAGCTGCGTTAGTTAGGCTACGTATTGCGCACACCTAATTATCGTAAGCCGAAGAGAGTGCTGTTTTCCGTGCTCGATGTAAAGTGGCCCTAGCAGAGAGATGGTCAACCTTTGACCGTACGGTAGTGAAGCATCAGTGCCAGCACTGATGTTGCTGTATTTGATGATGATGATGATGATGACAAGCTTTGACCTGGAAGATGTGCATGAAATTACGAAAGGTCTGTGTGCTGTCGGTGTGGCTCGCCTTCCCGAGTTGGGTCCGCGTGATCCCCACTGTGCCCGGTTAGGGATGCTGTCAGGTATAGCTGATAATCGATCTCAGTGGCGTTCCTGTTGTCGGATTCTATCCAGATCGCCTGAATGAGCGTCTGGAGGCGTGGAACTCCGGAAAAGTCGTGGTAGGCTAGCACTAAGTAACTTGCCTGTCCACTTTCATTTTTTTCTTCGCAGGAGGACCTTCATATAAATCGTTGTTGTACGGCAGTGTAGTATACAGCGTGTCGTTTCGGTTGATTTATACGTCATTATTGATGTGCAACCTTGCCTGCTGAACTTTGGCTCATCAGCTTTCATTATTTCCCATCCCTACCTTCGGTGGATCAGTCTCCTGACACTTCCATGGCGAGCATGCTACATCAAGCTTTCGGTGTTCGGCTGCCATGCCACCCAAAGGAAGCACGAGGGCTGAGATAATGCCGGATTGCCCAACCCAGACACGAAGTCGAGATGCTGGAGCTGGATTCAAACCATGAACCTTCCGGTTAGTAAGTTCGTGCCAATGAGTCATCTCAAGCTTATAAATCTGGTCAACATACTCGGAAAGGCAGTTCAACTGCGGCACTCTTTGGGCGCATATTTACCCGAAGGAAGCATGACGGAGGAGATACTCCCAGGTTGCCAAAGAGTAAGCAGGATCAATCTGAGTCATGGTGATTGGAATCACGGACCATCAGGTGAGTAGCTCCGCGACTTACATCTCAAGCTCACGGCTCCTAACCTCATCATCATCGACAGCATGACATCAGTGTTCAACACTGATGCTTCACTGCCGTATCATGGTTGTACGGCTCCTAACCTAGACAAACGTCGGTTTACGCATCTCTACCGGAAGAGGAACCAAGACCCTGGTTTTCCGTTTTCGGACCATATGGCACCACCAAGTCCCCATAATTGAGTGTTTTTCATTGATAGACGCGTCTAAGACATCCACGCTTATGAATATATACCTTTCTAGTGACCGTTACACCCACAACCATGTCTCAACCAGCTGCGGCTTGTCTAAGATATGCTTCTTGAAATCTTTGAGTTAGCACACCAACCTGATCAGAATATTGGCTATGGTTAGATACCTCCGGTTTGCAATGAAAAAAATCAACACGAAAATGTTACCAAAGTTACTTGTTTCTCATCCGCAGAGTTTTTCTCTGATTCCCGTCCAAAATTCAGACTTGTCGCACCCGTCGTTGGTACCATAAAGCCACTAGGACCAAGCGGATTGGCTCCCGCGGCTGACATTAGTCCATTTAAAAGGGCTGCGGACATAGCCGGGTTGTTTGGTGGGGAGATAGAAGGGAGGACACCTGGAAGGGAATTAGATGGATTGGTGGCGGCGCTGTAGCTTGGGCCACTGCCACCATGAGACATGTTCAGACCATGTAATCCCGTTTGGAGGCTTGAGGGAGGAGTGCCCGATAAAGCAGACATCTAAAAATGATGGGGACTGATGGACAAATCGTACCTTGTATGCTTCTAATTGCTCAGCGACCAGATTTGAGTTACTGCCATTAAAGAATTTCGAAGACTTAGCATCCTCGATTTGAGCCTGTTGAAGCCAAATGAGTAAGGTAATAAACGCTTACCGCTAGTACTGAGTTCAATTCTTGCATTGTCACCTGCTTTGCTCTCTCGATGGCCGAAAGGACTTGTGTTTGGTGCTGCTGACGGTATTGAATGATCAAACATGAACTCACTTCTTGTGAAAGGAATGGCACAACTTGAGTCAAGATTGCACTGAGACGCTTGGCAATTTCCATCTGCATTCAGGTGGAATAAGCAACATTATCCTCTCACCTGTCTGTGCATCTCTAAATTAAGGCCGTTTGCCATCTCATAGTACATCACGCAAATCCGTTGCATATCGGTTCTCTCGCTAACAAGCTTCTCACGTTCAATATGCAATCTATAGTGTGCGCAGAGTAACATAAACTGGTGAGCAAAGCGCATACGAATGATTTTGCTGCTGCAAATAATTAAATTCTTCTTTGATTCTATCACATGTCTCCAAAACTGTGAATTTGTACGACGGCCCTGGTCCCGGAGGAGCCTTAATATTTTATATTAACCCCAATCAAGGTAATGGGACGTACCGGTGGCCTGTTTGAAAACATACTCAGGCCAGAGCGAAGCTCGCGCGAGAGCGACAATAGACATGAATAACCATCATTAGGGCGTTTAAAACAACAGATATGTTCACCAGTTCATTTCAAACTTTGGGGGCCATATAAGAAAAAGGCAAAAATTACCTTATTGACGATGTTCTTCTTCTATCACGTATGAGGCTTTTGAGGATCCTAGAAAGCTGTGTCCACGCATAAGCAGGAAAATTACGGAAATGTTTATTAAGTATACTAAGGTAGCTCCACTGTCTCGAAGGTGAGATCTTATACAGGGTATATTTCTAAATTCTGTTGTCCTTTTTTTACCCATTTTTCCTTTCACCTCAGTTGGTGAATCCGTTGCTTGAATTTCTCGCTAAACTCATGGAAGTGCGTCGTATAACCAATAATTCACGCAAGAGTGACGCGAGAGGTTAGATTCATTCTCAATCGCCTCCACTAGGTGAGTTGGGTTCGGTTTAAAGCAACTCGTCCATTTTCTAACACTACAAAGGATGACGATGAGTTTCATGCGAACCTCATTTTGAAAGGACGAGATTTCTTGATGCCACCACGCCCTGATAATATCAAGCTTCTGAAACCCAAATTCTGTGGACAGAATGTGCAAAAACACAAATGTGGGTTACGGGATAAAAACTCTGAATTCGTGGAATATTCCAGGCCGTCGATATTCGACCTAAAATGTACATCTAACGTGCCTGCTGGTTCTCTGATATTTAAGGTATGACTCGGGATTATTTCCAGAAGGTCCTCTGAACAGCAGTTTTTCGGAGAGAATGGTGCTTTCCAGGTGCTGGTATTATCGGTACAGGTGATTTGGTAACTTGTCTTGAACCGGTTTTGGAAATCAAGTGCGCCGAAAGCTTTCGTAGACACTTGCATGTTGAAAATAATGTCTAGTTGATGGACGGCATCGTTGGATTTTTCTCCGCACTCAAGTTGTGTGCCAGTGCCCCCTAGAGTATTGGATGTTAGGTACGGGTTTTCGAACATGGACATTTGCATAGCTATCATATTTTCCTATGAACGATCTGCTGTTCCTTAAAAATGACGTGATATGCGGCAGTGCATCAGTTCACTAGTGAACGAACCTAATTTGTAGGTGATTTGGAATATATTGGGGGAATCGCTTGACTGTTTTGCAGATCATTCATGTGAAAACGATCACAGGTATCTGGTTCGATTCCACATTTTATTGAACCTCAGAGAATTTTTTTCTTAAGATTTACTCATTTAATTTAGGGAGAAAATTGAGTAAGATAAGTGTTTTTGTTGACTATTTTGGTGCCTCGGGGGATGTAGATGAAACTTCGTAAATTTGGAGATGCCATTTTCTAATCAAGAACGGCAACGGTCTTCCCGTGAGAGGCTTCGCATTTACTGTAACTTAGCTGCTCGCCTATTTTCTATTATTACTCAGTAAACCTTTCGGACTTACGCAAAGGAAACGTACGAGGTTGCAAGCAGGATCCATTGGTAAGCCCTAGACGTGCACGTAGATCTGCTTATTTAGGCAGAATGATTTGCGCAAAGTTTTTAAAGTCAATGATGACCACCTTAGAAATCTTTAAAGAAAAGTTGGTGCGCTTATTTAATAAGAGTATTCAACCAAACTCCGGCAGGGAGGTTTCCAAGAAACTGGTCCCCTGCTTTGCGACTTTGTGTTTATTTCGGCGACAATATTGCTTCTCCTCGGTATACGTACTCTCCTAGTTATATGGCTGGGCCTCAGTTAATTTTGCGGGTGCCCATACTGAATGTAGGGTGTCGCTCAATACACCAGTCATAGTGAGACGGTAAAATAACCCAATTGTTAGGAAAAAACATAAACGGACTTTGCGACCATTTCGCTTGACAAAATAAATATGGGAAATAGATTGATTTGACCTAGGCCGGGAACCGCAGAAAACTACTGAGAGGATTACTCAACACTGGGTAATGGAACGGTAGCTCCTTGAAATCTTGGAGGCAGTTTCAAATACTGTACGTCTCCCTTCACAACTTTGCACTTTATACGTGCGAACCATGTCTCGAAAAACTGGAGAATCTTGGAATGAATTATTGGTAGCACTATTGCTTCCTGCTCCTCAACAGTGGGAACAACATCGTCTGCATATTCCGGGTAAAGAATCTTCTTACTTGGACATTTTTGAGGACCAGAGTCACGGACATTCTCCAGGCTACATAAATGAAGAAAATAAATGAAAGGGGAGAGTGCATATCCTTATCAGACATTAACGCCTGTAGAGTCGTTCAAGATAGCTCTCCGGGAGCCACCGCAACCACAAATATGTGATGCAAAGGCCGCATGGTTTTCGAGATTTTCTGGGTATACCTTAGTGCCAAAGCGAACGGAAAGGAACGGAACGGCAGTTTGAGTGAAAGGCACCCTTAAAGTTAAGTGACACAAAGATTGTAGTGCGCCTATTAACATGTTGTTGCCCTAAGTGTTGTCGGGTTTTGAACATGACGCACACTGCCCATTCCTAGCAGGAATCCAGCTTGCCAGTCTCGCGTTATGTCTTCGCGCGCTTTCATAAGAGAGGGTAGGACGAGAGACGCGCAGATACTAGTTTTATTGGACGGCAAGCAATATTTCCACTGTTTGTGGCACTTGATTTGAGCACACTCTTTGAGAATGGGTACCACTACCGACTACATTCAATTCATCTGGACGGTTTTCCCGCCCAAACAAGTGAACTTGAAAAAGCATCGATCAGGGATTTCAACTTTGGACAGAAAGGATGCGAGTTCATAGGTGCTAGGAGGTTGATGGCGTTTGGGTGACAGGCGCATTTATTATCTCCAAAGATGTCGTGAAATTCGGGTATGGGACTGCTCTGCTGGTTGAAAATCCGTCTGAGCAAATGCAGATAATAATAATAATAATGATAATAATAATATTTATTCCCAACTAGTGGGTAGCATACCGTCAGGCATGATCAT